GCATGCATCTGTGCGTGCGTACATACTGTGACAGTCAGTGTCATTGTCATCCTTCATTGCTGGTCTTACGTTTTTCTAACTTTTTAATCACAGCATAGTAGCATTATTACTAGCATATAATTGTCGCATTGGTGAAATGGTTGATGTGGAAATATTGTGATGACGACGGTGGTGGTAGAAATATTGTGATGATGCTGATGAAAATGGTTGATGTCAAAGTGTGGTGAGGAAATGAAAGTGGTTGATGGAGAAAGATCAATATTTTGATGAAAATGGTTGATGGACTGGATGCACCAATATTCTGATGAAAATGGTTAATGTTGTGATATGGTTATCAATATGAAATTAATGAATATTAAATTAATAAATTATGAATTCATGGGTGATCAGCCTTTCAATTTGAGTTTCCATATTGAATTTTCAATTTGAGCTTTTGGAAGTGATTTCGTTTTGCCGAGATGAAAAGGGCAAACTTGAGGGAAAGAATCGACGGATGGTTGTGTTCGTTGTTCTGCTGTAGTTTTTTTTTTTTTTTTTTTTTTTCATCATTTCGAGTTTTTGGCTCATTTATGAAATAGGTTTGTGCAACTTTGCGGAGAGTCTGACATTTATTTGGCTTGCACCTCTTTCTCTCTCAGTTGGGACTTTCCCTTAAACAGTCGAAAGAACGAACGGGTTTTACCCTTTTGCGCCTGGTGCTGTGGATCTCCCCTCCCTCTCCTCCATGATCTTCTTGGGCTTTATCGATGGATATTGAAGGATATGGATATGGATTATATGGATATCGATGGATATTGATGGATATGGATATATGATATTATGGATAGATATGGATAGATATGGATATGGATATGGATGAATATGGTATTGTGGATGGATATGGATGGATGTGGATGAATGCATCGATGAATGGATATGGATGCATGCATCGATGAATGGATATGGATGCATGCATCGATGGATGGATATGGATGCATGGATCGATGGATGGATATGGATGCATGGATCGATGGATGGATATGGATGGATGGGTGTGTGGATATGGATGGATGGGTGGGTGGGGGAGTGGGTGGATGGATGGATGGATGGGGTGCAACTACTCTATAACTAGGCTGAATCGGAGCGAGAGAAGAAGATCAAGGATGAGTTGGCAGAAGTCCGCAAGGTGTTCTACTGCGAACTGTGTAATAAACAATACAAGCTTGCGACGGAGTTTGAAGTGCATCTGAGCTCATATGACCACAACCACAAGAAGGTATGTTATCTTCCAGCGATGGTGGGGATTTCATCCTCACGATCGATCCTCATTTGCAGATGTTCTTTTTTTTTTTTTGTTTCAGTATAATTAATTTTTATTATCACTAAAAAAAAACAAAAAGGCTGCTGCAGCCACTGCACCAGGTGCATTAGCTGCAGGAGGTGCAGCAGGTGCAGCAGGCGCAGCAGTTGTGACTTGTAACTGCTGCAGAGGACCCCAAAAAAAAAAAGAAAAAAAAAGCGCTTTGGCGATTTTTATTTATTTTTGGAAAATATTAAATTACTTTAACTCCCTGAAAATTGATAAGCTTGCTGTATCGTATCAATTTACTCGCTGACCCTTTATGCAAAAGCTACGCCGTTAATCCAAAAGAATGTAAAATAAAAAAATGCAGATCCATCATCCATTGTTGTTTGATGATATGCATCTTTCAGCCTTCGACTGATTGTTTTCATCGGGCTTCAGTTTTTCTTTTTCTATTGCACTCCCTTTCTTAGGGTTCTTTTCACCTTTCCCGAAGCCTCAAAATAAAACAAACAGGGTAAAAAAAAAAAGCAAAACATTTACTCACACACACACACACACACACAGAGAGAGAGAGAGAGAGAGAGAGAGAGAGANGAGAGAGAGAGAGAGAGAGAGAGAGAGAGAGAGAGAGAGAGAGAGAGAGAGAGAGGGAGAGAGAGAGAGAGAGAGAGCATGTTTTGGACACCGCCGTTGTTGGCAGCAATTTTTATTTTTTATTTTTTTCCCTGCTGATCCAAATGCCCTCAAGACTTAGGTCGTCAGAAACACAATACCTCATCTGACGGAGAATCCACAGAAACACAACTGAAAAGAAAAGGAAAAATATTTAGGTCGACATCTGCCTGGGTAACCTAGCATTTTAATAGCCTTTTTTTTTTTTTTTTAAATTTGTACGAAACTGCTCTCCTGTTTTCAGAATTGTGGGGTATTGGAGGGGTCCCGGACATCTGCCCGGGTAACCCAGCATTTTAATAACCCTTTTTTTTTTTTTTTAATTTAATAACCCAATTTTTTATTTTATTTTTTATGTATGAAACTGTTCTTCTGTTTTGAGAATGGTAGTGTATTTACTGTCAGCGTCAACTGGTTAAATCCAAGAAAATGGGGGAAAAACGAAAAGAAAATAATGTGAAAAATAAATGTGCCCTGCCTCGTCGCCGCCCCACCCCCCCCCCCCCCCCCCCCAAAAACACCATCTCCCCCCCCCCCCCCCCCCCCCCCCCCCCGCCCCCCCCAACATTTTGATTCTTGAATGTGTTTTGGACTCCAATCTGGACGGGAGGGAGAGGACTACGGTCGTTTGATCCAGAGGAGGAAAAAAAAAAAGAAGTTGTGTCAAAAATTTGTGTTTTCAACTTTTCATTGGTGTTCTAAAGTTTTGTGGTGTTCTAAAATTTTGTGACGTGCGGATTTTCAACTTTTCACAACTTTTCAGTGGTGTTCTAAAATTTTGTGGTGTTCCTAGATTTTGTGGTGTTTTAAAATTTTGTGGCGTGTGGATATTCAACTTTTCAGTGGTGTTCTAAAATTTTGTGACGTGTGGATTTTCCATCTACCTACCTTTGAAATGAACTAAATTTGGAACCGAAAAGGAAAAATAGTATACACATATGGAGGGCATATCATGGGGGAGAAAAAAGGTTAAGAGAAGGGCAAAATTTTGTTGATTTTTTAAACCACCAGTATACTTCCTAAAGTTGTGCCCATTAACAAGCCACAATTTTAGGAAACACGCAGGCCATTACAGGAGCGTCCAAATTCATCCGACTAGAAATGTTTCTACTCTATTTTTTTCCCACCGCCGATAGCTGGGCCAAGTACTGGTGGTTTAAAGGCACTGCCATTACAAATATAGTCGAAAGAACCTTATTCGGTTATACCGTACATCACAAAGTATTACGGACGAACAAAGGGCATTAACAAAATCGAAAATTTGCACCTCATTCCAATGCTGTCTACGAATTCATGAGCCGAACGAACAAACAAACGAACAAACAAAGAGCGCAAGCAAGAAGAGGAAAAAAACAAAAAACCGTCGGGGAAAAAAAAGGGGAAAAGAAAAAACACTTCAAAAAGGCAGATGTCAGATCCCCAATGCAACCCCCCCTGTTCATGTATGATTTGCACCGTTGCAAATTCTTTTTTTTTTTTTTTTTTTCAACTGCTTTGGCAACTCCGACATCCTGATGACCGGGGACCCAAAAAATGGAGACCCCGTTTTTGGAGACCCACTTAGAACAAACCGAGTACCCAGAGGAACGAAACGCTCAAAACAACAGCAAGTTATTAACAGGGCCCCCCCAAAAAAATATGGTGTCACCCTTCTGCCGGAGTACCTGGGCGACAGCAAAAAGGGGTCTCCTTTTTTTTGTGGGCAGTGGTAAGATTTTGCGACCACTAAGGTGTGCCCAACTCCGGCTTTATCTTTTTTTTTTTTTTTTTTTTTGGGATTAATCCTTAGAGATTAAGACGGCATATTTTCTGTATTTGTCTGCCCCGGCCCAGGGTCTTTTCTCAGGTCACTTTACTTAGTACTTACTACTTTTCTCTTTATCTTTTCCTTTTTTTTGTCACACTTTTCGACTCTGTGTGGTGAAGCAAGTTATTAAGAGGGCTTGGAGAGAAATCTGATTGTATGTGTTCTGTCCATCCATTGTTTGTATTTTCCTTTTTCGGAATTTCTTCTTGCTTGGATCCTTGTTTTGTATTTTCCTCTTTTGGTTGTTCCCCCCTCTCTGCTTCGGCTGCTGTTTGTTTGTCCCCTTTGAGAGATTGGATGGCAACCAGGGCTTTATGCTCTCTCTTCTCTTCTCTTCTCTTCTCTTCTCTTCTCTTCTCTTCTCTTCTCGCTTCTCGCTTCTCTCTTCTCTCTTCTCTCTTCTCTACTTGCTATAAGCAGTTTAGAGCTAGGATTTTATGTCGCGTTGTTCTCGTTCGCCTTGCAGCGGTTCAAGGAAATGCGTGATCTTCAGGCAGCAAAGACGCGAGATGATCGTATCAGACGCGAGCAACGACGGGCGGAGAAGGAAATGGCTAGAGTTACGCAGACGTAAGATTGCCATCCCATCCTTTCCCTGTGTCAGATCCTCTGCCTCTCCCATCTCACGTATGTTGTTCTTCGTGTGCAAGAGTTAGAATATCCATCATCATCATCAATCAATATGAATCAATCGATCAGTCAATCGATCAATCAATATGAATCAATCGATCAATCAATCGATCAGTCAATCGATCAATCAGTCATCAATCAATCATCAATCAATTGTCAATCAATCATCAATCAATCGCCGATCAAATCATCAATCAATCATCAATCAATCGCTGATCAAATCATCAATCAATCATCAGTGCAAAGAAAAAGATGGAATACGTGCAAGTGCAAAGAAAAAGATGTAACGTAAAGTCTTAGGGCCTTGCCACACTCCTCACGAAATGGGAAAAAATGTGAGTGAATGATCTTGCGGAACGTGGCAATTTACATCCATTATGATTCGTAATAGCGAATGAATCTTTCCTCCTCCTTTGGGAAGATGCAGCCACATTTTGGGACTGCATTATGTGAGTCGGCCTTGGTGTTACACCCCAACTCATCCTTCTTCCCTACATTGTCCCACTCCTCTTCTCCCTCGTCCTCACCTCTGCCGTGTTGTCCTTCTCGCTTCCTCACTTCCTCCTCCGCGTCATTGTCCCCCTCCTGCTCCTGCTCCTCGTCCTGCTCCGCTCCTGCTCCTCCCCTTGCTCCTGCTCCTCGTCCAGCTCCGTCTCCTCCTCCCGCTCCTCCTCCCCCTAGCAGGACAGGAGGCCATGGGGAGGGAGGCCGGTCCTCCCACACCACGTCCTTCCCTTAGTCACGTTCCACTGTCTGCCGCTGCCCCGCTCGTTGTTCTTCCCTGTTCCCCCTGCCGCTCGTCCTGCCCACTATCCTCCCGACTACTTGAAACGCGGTTATACCCGTCCCTACCACCGCAGTCTCCCCAAAGAAAATGAAACAATGTGGCTTGCCCAAGAAAACTCCAGAACCTTCACCAGGCCCGCCGCGAAACGAAATCCCCCCAAAAAGGGAACCAACTGTATTTTCGTGCCAGGTGCATCAAAACCCCGAGCACCTGCCACAGTCCCTCGCGCTTCGCAGCTACGAAGCAAGACGATGCCGAGACACCCAAAAAATCTTGTGCCCCCTTGGGACAGTGCGCCCGCACCCGCACGGTTCAGCGTGCCAATGATTTTTTGTGGGCCCGGCAGAGGCGTCATGCGGGGACCGCTATTCTTTTTAGTAGTGTATATAGGGATTAAAAATAAAAAAGCCGTCACCAAGCATAGGAGAAAAAAGGCCTCCTTGCAACCAGTCCATCAACAATGGTGATGGCTGCAAATGCAATCAGACTCGACTTCTTCACACTTGTCATGCATGCAAACAGCGGAACAGCAAACTGGCGACATGTGCCCACACAGTACTCAAGATATCGTAACCAGGTAGGAGTTCTCTTCAACTGGCTATGGCGACTGAGCGCCCACACAACTCACTGTTCGCACTTTGGATCACCCTGGATGTCCCACACGCAACACTCTACACGCAACACACACACACACACACACACACGCTACTATAGCGATGGCAGCTATGGCTGCCACTATCCTATCGCTACACTACACTTCACTGCCCTCTTCGTCTTCGGGCGCACTGCAGACCTCCTCGCACAAGCTGCTGGGGCAGCGCTTCCGCATGGCATCCGCAAGAATGAATGAATGGCTGGACGCAGCCTCTTGATTTATACTTCTGCGCTGCGTTGGTCTGCCCTGTATCCCTTGGCCCACGATGTGCACACAGTCCCAGACGGTACTTGCTGAACAGGACCAGACTGACTAACTGGGACTGCTGACTGGGCTAGGTGGACTACCACCACTTGACCACTTGCCTCTGCTGAACACAGGCCAACTCCGAAAGGCCACTTCTAGAAGTCTCAAACTTGGCCTTTTGGTACTGTAGCAGCTACGACTTTGCCCTTTCAGGTAAGTAGCAGCTACGACCTTGACTCTTCTGGCATCCTACAGCTACGACTTTGGAACTGTCTAGACTCCTACCCTACAGGTCTACAGTTCGATTCCCTTCTAAGCTGTGACCTACGAAACCCTGCCTACCACTGGCGAACCTACAGGTCGCGGGTTCGAGTCTACGGGTTGAAATCAATACTGTACACAGGTAAGATAGGGAACTAGGGATCGAGCCCTGGGATCTGCATTCGCTACTGCGAACTGGTGATTACCGTTTCACTCCCGCCGGCCTAAATTTGAGGTCCTCCGAGAAAAATTCAGTCCAAGGCAGGACCTTTACCCTTCTGTTGTCTCTCATAGGCCCGGACTATATCGGGAGCTGTTTCTAGAAGTTCAGATCTTGTAAACCAGCGGTCGTCTTCCGGTTCCTGATAGCTAAAATGAACCTTGTATTGTTTCTGCGGACGACCTCTACCTCCAGTTCTGAAGACATCCTCAGCCACTATACCATCTAGGTCATATCTTCCATCCATATCAGGTGGGATCATCGATCTACGGGATGGAAACTGATTACTTGTTTGACAAGGTAACAACTTTGACACATGGAAAACTGGGTAAGTGTGGAGGTGTGCTGGTAGCTCTATGGTATAGGACGGTCCATCTTCGCCGCCCTTGACCTCTAGAACAGGCCACGGTCCTCTATATGTGGGCAGTAACTTCTGCGAGATGTTCTCCTCAGGCGCAAATTCTTTGGAACTAACCCAGACTAAGTCGCCTACTTGGAACTGTGAAGGGCGACGATGTTTGTTCGCTTGCTCTATCATCTTATGCTGGGCTTTCCTGAGGTTTTCTACAACGGTAGCTAGTTCTTTCTCGTGCWGCACAGCAAACTCCCGGGTCCCGGGCGGCAATCTGTGAATCTGATCCCGGTTGAGTCCCTCAAAGGGTTTGCGCGGTCTAAAGGACTTGTGCAGTTCATTGGGAGTGCGACATGTAGACAGATGCACACTATTATTGTACGCACTAGCTACTTTGGGCAACATCTCATCCCAGTTAATCTGATCCGGCCTAATATACATGCGCAGAACTTGCTGTAGGATCTTGTTCATTTGCTCCGTCTGACCGTTAGTCTTTGGATGACGGCCGGACGACATCAACAACTTGGATCCATACACTCCCATGAGTTCTTGCCAGTTCTGGCTGGTGAAACGACTATCTCTATCACTAACCATTGACAGCGGGATTCCGTTCTCACTAACCCAACAGTCAAAGAACCTCTGTATGAC